TAATGATAAGATTTATGCCTTTCTCTACCTCCTCTTTGGTATTATTTCAGAACAGTGATTGATAAGCTGCAAGATACAATGAGACTCAGAGGTTCATCTCTTGAAAAATAGGTGCCTGAACCTTAACATTTAGAAATTTTCTTTCCGTAAGAAATTTGTATGTAATCTTAAGACATTTGAGTTTAAGGTATGCCTGGTTTCTGAGTTAGCAATTACTTGGTTTGTTACGAACTTTTGGGGTAAATATTTATTCAAAATTAATGTTTTTTTCTGTCATTGTCTTTGTAGTGCTGTGTTCTTGTACTTTTATCTCAAGAACCTAACTTACTCTAAAAGCTTTAAATGAAAAAAAGCTACTTTCTGGATCTCCACTTAGCAAAATTCCTACTGTCTTGGTTTATATTACATGAGTATGCCCTGGTTTTTAAGCTGAATTCCCATCTTATTTTGTTGTATGGATTCTTTTTTTTTTTTTTCCCTTAAACAAGATTGTGTGGCTCTTAGCGATGGAATGAAATGCTGCTTTACTTATATGAGCATTAGAAAGTGGGGACTCTGCCTATGAGTATAGCAAATATACTTTACCCCCTTTTCATCTTTTTTTTTTTTTTTAACTACACCATCTTTCCACATGAGCTGGGTTTTTTCCTATACTTAATATAATGTACAAAGTAATATTACTTAAACTTTCATTTAACTAAGATATAAATCTTTTTTTTCTTCTTTTGCTGTTCTACTTGCAAAACATAAAATACATTTTATACACTAGGATAACCAATTCTATTTAATTAATAACTTCTTAAAACTTACATTGGAACTAGGTATAGCATGGTGGTAGAGCCCATATACCAAAAAAAAAAAAAAAAAAAAAAAGACAGCTCATACATCAATTTTGTCATAGCCTAACATATAAAACATACTATATTAATAATACATTCCTTCCTTACAAGCCTCCCCCATTAGAGAGTAGAGGGTTTTCCCCAAATGACTTACTTTTTAAATCAAATTTTTCTATTTTCTGCAGATAATATCACCTACTGCATTATTTTTGGCTGCAAAAGTAGAAGAACAGGCTCGAAAACTTGAACATGTTATCAAAGTAGCACATGCTTGCCTTTATCCCCTAGAGCCACTACTGGATACAAAATGTGATGTATGTAAAAATTGGGTTTTGGGGTTTTCTTTGTAAATTTGAATCTTGCTTATTTTTATTAGCACTGAACAATAATCACAGGAAGCCATCTGGCAGAAACAGTTTGTGAATTTGGATGTTATTCTGAGTCATATAAGGCTTAGATTCAAAGTTACTTTTAATTGTTTCACATTTTGTTTATTCTCACAGCAAAGCAGTGATAAATGTAGAAGGTAAAACATGATAGGTGTACAGCACTTGAGACCAGAAGTTAAATAACTCTTAAATTGTTGGCAGATAAAGGAAGAGAAAAACACTGACCTCTAGACTAGTAATTAGTCTTTTTAAAAAATTGTTCTATAAAAATAGAAGCTAGAATTTTAGGTTTTTAAAATAATTTTGCTAGCATCCCTATTATAAGTAAGTTATTTAATTAGGAACCTTTACCGATAGAGTGAATAAGATTACATTAATTCAGTTTGAGTTAGATCATTTAATGTCCAGATTAATTTGAGCTCTGATAGAAATATATCTGATTTTATTAATGACAAGCTCTGTCATAGATGTTGGCTTTAAGAAAGTAAGATAGTGATATAACTGTTACATAATAAAGAATTTGTGATTATTCAAAGATATATTTTTTCTTGTCATTAGAGACCCAAAATTATTTCTAATGAATACTTGGAGGTATTGCTTAGATACTAGAAATCCATGTTTTAAAAGTTAGTCATCTTTCAGAATGGAGCATAAATAAAATTATAGGTGCATTTCAATATCTAAGTTTAGCAGTAAGTGCTTACTAACATGATTTTTACATGTAATATATTATTTCTTGACCATCTGCGTCAGTTGTCACGACCTGAGAATAGATAGGATGGCAGAAAATTTTATTCTAAGTATTGCAAAAGAATAATTTCTTGAAATTTAGGGAGAAAGCTCTCTGACTTTTATGTCTCTGGATATATGATACATTATTTTGATGTTTTACATCAGAATTTTTTTTAATCTAGAAATTTGAAGTTTCGTTTTGATTTTGTCTTTCCAAAGCTGAGAGGAAGTTAATTCTGAAAATGCTCACTTTTATGTTCAAGGAATTACCACATAAAGTGTCATAGTGTGAATTTGTAAGCCTTTTTCTTTAAAGACAAGTTTGAGTTTGATGATTTTGTTTAGCTTAGTTCCTCTCTCTTTAATGTGTGTTGATGCACTAATGCCTAGGTATAACATTCTTACACTGATGGTGAATCTTTTAGAGCTTTCAATGGTAACAGATAGCCTGCTGTGGCACACATGCCCTAGGTTCCCCACTACTGAGTAGAGTGTGTTGATCTCCTTTTCAGTTAACCTACCCCTTATGTGTTATCATTGTCTCTAGTGGAGGGGAGGAGTTGTCTTTTTCCCTTTGCTTTGTTTATATCTCCTGTAGTAGATAGTGGTTCAGTTTAGACTTGTCACAGCAAATAGGTGTTCTCTTATCTCCCTCAATTTATTTTCCCCTTATTTGCAAGCTGCTGTAGTTCTTTTATAATCTGATTCCCAGGAGATCTAAGTCAATTGCCCTAGTAGTGTTACATTTTTTCTTAAGCATTTTATTGTTTTCATCTGACAGGCTTACCTTCAGCAGACTCAAGAACTGGTTTTACTTGAAACCATAATGCTACAAACACTAGGTATGTACTTACATCAGTTATTTTGTGTTCTTCGATGCAATATTCTAAATATTTAAGATTTCTAGAATAATTTTATTTTTGAAGAAAGTTATTTTCAGACAGGTTTTGGGGCTAGAATAATATTGTCCAGTTATAAGGAAACCATTTTTCTAAACTTTTAATTTCATTTAGAATAATTTACTTAAATGGTAAACAGCCTCATATGATTTCTTTGGTTTTTGGATTGTTGAAGCACTATGCTAGACTTACACTGGAGAATACTTTATGACAGTCCTTGCTCTCAGAGGTAATAGTATTTAATGAATAAATCACATCTTTTTTAATGTGAAATAATAATTACTTAAATGATCATCATATTCTAAAAAGTTTTCTTTGTATGCAAGGTTTATTTAATCTTTCACTGTGCTAGTGAAGAAATTGAGACCTAAGATGGTTATGACTTTTTGAAAACAGTGTTCTACTTATGGAAAACCGTAGTAGGGTATGGTAGAATAAATACGTGCTTTCAAAGGGATCTAATTTTAAATCTATAGGCCCTTGACTTCTCTAAACTTGAGCAACATTTCTTTACTTCTGCTTTATATCACAAAGATAGATTCTTATTATAAAAGTAGCTTGTTTGAAATGTATATAATAAAAAAAATACAAGGGTGAGACTTATTTGGCATGTTGTCATTTTATACAAAATAATATGAATTTATGGTAAGTTATCAACATTACATATTTTGAATGAAAAATATAAATTGTATTATCATAAAATACTATAAAGTTATGTTTTGGTGTTTTGTTTTTGAGACAGGGTCTTGCTATGTTGCCTGGGCTGGCTTGAACTTCTGACCCTCCTGCCTCAGCATTCCAGAGTGTCAGGATTACAGGCGTGTACCACCATCCCTGGCTTATAAAGTTGTTTTTATTATATGAAGACATTATGTAGAGGCTGAAGGTATAGCTTAATAGTAGAATGCTCACATAGCATGTGCAAGACCCTAGGTTAGATTTCCAGCACTACTACTACTAATAGTAATAATAAATAATATGAAATCATTTTGTAGCCAGGCAAGATGATGCATGCCTGTAAATCCAGGTACTTGAGAAGCTGAGGGTGGAGAATCAGAAGTTTGAGGTCAGCCTGGGTACCTTAATAGTCCCTTTCTTAAAAAGGGGTGGGAGAGGATATAGCTCAGTGCTCTCTGGATTCGATACTCAGAACGGGGAAGGAGTCATTGCATATATATTGCTTATAACACATTCTGAAACATAGAGAATGAATAACATTATTTTAAAGGAACATTAAAACTGTAGAAGATATACCTCTGTGGTTTTATTTAAAGTATTTTACATGTATAATTGCAGAGGAAATAAAAATTTTACAGCAACTTTATAAATCCAGATTATGAATTTACTTTTATTACTGCTTCTAAAGGCACTAAATGTTACAACCCCTTTTAATAAGAGCAAAAATCCTGACATAACTAAGGATTGAACATTGAAAGCTTTTCACCATTTTATCTTTGGTTTAAGAGGCATTGATTTAAAGAACTGTGAGCCCTACATAGTTCACTTGCCATATGATTTTTAGTACAGTATTATTTTTAGTACAGTATTAAGTTATACACTGTTTGAAACCTTTTGATCTAACACAGTAAAAAACTAAAAGGACTATTATTTAAAAGTAACTTCTACCACTGTTGTCCAACAGCTAAGTTTATAAAAATGTTTTTTTCAAATCTTCTGCAACAAAAGATTTGAAATATTAGGAAAGATAACACTTAGTTGAATTTTCTGTATAAACTATTGGACCAGTTTAATATGTAATTGTTATTTGCTGTGATTTTAATTTGTTTTTAACTTGAGGATAATTCCAAATTAATTATTCAGAATTGTGAATAAAATTACCCTTGTCATTAACTGTTTTCCTACTTGAGACATTGTAGTTCTCATTTTTAGAGGTATAGTAAACAATATTACACCTCCAAAAGTGATGGAGAAGCTTTAATTTTGTCTTTGGATTTATTTTAATAATGAATATATTACAGATTTATGATTGTGTGGTAAATGGTATTTCTCTGGTAGGTATTGTAGTGGTAAGTGGTTGGGGGGAAAATGCTTATCATTTCAGGTTTTGAGATCACCATTGAACACCCACACACAGATGTGGTGAAGTGCACCCAGTTAGTAAGAGGTAAGTCATCTTGGAAATTTTTAAAATAAATACTAATGCTTTTATCATTTATAAATGGTTTGGATGCTATTTTGTTCTTTAGTCTGTTGTTGGGTTTTATTAAAATGAGGTAAATTTATTTTGAAGCATTATTTTTTAGTGTTCTGCATCAGACTATACATCTTCTGTTCCTAAGGAAGCATTCGTTTCCTTTAAACTTAGATGAGAATCTCGGTTCCCTGAAAAATTGGAGGACTTCCAAGTAATAGGAATCCTCCCTCATTGGACTACTCCATTCCCATTCCAGTTAATATTTAGAATGTAAGCCATCAGTATACTGGTGTAACTAGTAATGTTCATTTCTGATTTATAACAAACTTCCATTAGCTTCTTGAAAAATGATAAGTTGAATTTTGAAGCCAACCTCTTTCAGATAAAAATTGCCTTTATTAGTAGATCTGTCATCTTTGGAAATGGTTTTCCATATTCATTTAAACAAAATTGATTTACTACAATTTTTAAAGTTCTTTAGCACTTCTAAAAATGGTTTCCTTTTCATGTAAATGTAGAAATAACTAAATCAATACATTTTGTGATAAATAGGAATATGAAGTTTTTGTATATTTGCTTTACTGCGTGTAAAGCATGATGGATCTTTCTACTCATATTAATGAATTCTATGTATCTGTTGTTGTAGTCCTAGAAATACTTTTTACACCATTGCATGTCTGCTTCTTCTACTTTCCTGTTGCCCATTTGAAGTGTTAGGTACTCATAGCAACCTCTTGTGGACCTTTAGTGGACCTTTTTCTCTTCCATTTTGAATAAATTTTGCAGTTTCATTGTTTTGCCACCAGCCTTTTAGGTTTATTCTAAGCAAAATGGGTCAGACTTTTGAAGACCTTATTTTCTTTTTAGTGTTTATCTAAATATTCTCACATTTTATTCATCCTAAATTGAATTCATTTTATACCTACGTGTAGTGTTTTATGTTCATCACTGCATTTTTTTTTTTTAAGCCTGTAGTTGGTAACCACAATTTTCTTGTTAAAGAATAGATTTCTAGGACTGGGGATTTAGCTCAGTGGCACTGCGCCTGCCTCACAAGCACAAAGTCCTGAGTTTGCTCCCCGGTACCGGGAAGAAAAAAAAAAAATAGATTTCTAAAAATCTCATTTGCATTTTTTTATCATAGTAGCACACATTACAACTAGATCACTTTGCACACTAGAATGTATTTAATTATGGTTTCTGTTATTATATAAATATATTTTATAGCACATTCTCACCCCCAGTGTTACAATATAAATACAGAATTGTATAACTAGTTATAAATGATGAATTAAGAAAAAAATTATAGCTTTGTTTTCCTGAAAATTTCAAAGGGAAAGCTAAGTTTTGTAAGAAAAATAGAGAACTATATAATTTGCTCTAAGTTGAGAACTTAATGAAAAAAGATATTAGATGAAGGAAGATAATGTATGCTTTTAAAAATCACGTATTCACTCAGTAAGAAATAAGACTAGATTTTTTTAAATTATACACAAAAACTGCAGATTTGATACATCATACAAAGGAAAGCATTTAAATCGATTTTGTTATTACTAATGTTTAAAATGTGACATGCTTAAATTTGAGTGCAAACCATATATGTTTAATTTCATTTTGTCTGACTAACATTTCAAGTAATTATAGTTAATCTCTCACTCCATTTAAAAAAAATTCTTTCATGTTTGCTGTGTTTTTCTTTGCTCTGTTACCACTTTCAACTAACAAAAGAACATTTCCTTTCCATTCTTAACAGTGACTATAGATTATTGAATTTAGATACATTCCTAGGTGAAAACTGCCATAGCAATTTAAAATGATTTTTCCTTTTCTATATGTTTTGATTACTTTGGGGGAGGGGTAAATAAATTTAACTTCTGTAAAGCCCCCCCCATGAGAAAGTTAATATTATGCTACTTTGGTACAAAATTGGCTATTGTCATTTTCCAGGGACCTTTCACTTCTGTGATTTCTCCTTCCCTCCCCACCAGGAAAGAATGCCATACTTAAGTCACACTGCCTCCAAGACATCTGATGCTTTGACACTCTTCCTTAGCACAACTCTGCCAAACCCAAATCCCTTTTGTAAAACCCTTATGTTGATGATCCACATGGGGCAGCAGGGATTACAGGTGCCATGAATAAAGGGGGGATTTGAGCCCTGTTAGAGAGGGCTGGTGTTGAGATGAACTAATCCTAGTAGAGCAGTGGTTTTGAATATAATTGGGAATAAAAATGAAATTATAGCAAGGATATTCTTTTTGAAAAAGATAATACCAAGCACAAAAAGGGGAGGGGAAACTATTTTCAGTACCTTAAAAGGCCAGTTAAAAATTGCTTTTTTGTTGGGGACCAGTGTTGAAGCATCCTGACTCACCCTTGAAGACTCATATCTTTTCTAAATGTTATCTTTAATTGAATTCTGTAAATTTTCTTTTAAAATGATACAGTGGAGCTTCTTATATCTATAGTCTTATGATGTTTCTAGGTTGTTTATTCTTTTGATGGCTAATAGCATGATAGACTGAGCAGTTTGTGCTTTCTTGAATTTGGGAGGGTGGGTGCTTGTTTTGTTTTGTTTTATTTTGATGAAATTATTTATGCCAACTAAAATATGACTGAGGATTAAGTCTGGCAGGCAACTCTGTATTTTGTATTAGACTTCAAAAATCTTTTCTTCTTCTTCTTCTTTTTTTTTTAAATCCAGGAGAATGCTTTATTTCAACTTTTAGCTGACTAGATGCTTAACTTAGTAACAAGTTTAGCCCTTGTAACTGGCTAGCTAAAAGCAAATCGGCTTGTTTCTCAGATCTTTGGGGGATAGCAAGAAACATTTGAGTGAATGTTGTTGAAGATTTTCAGTAGTATAGAAAATGATGGCGCTCTTGTGATATTTGTAAGTAGTAAGTAAAATTTACTTTTTGTGTACAAATCTTTGAAGTTTTGTTGTGTTGAGAACTTTTTGATGGTAGCATGTTAATGCTGATAGTTTTGTCTTTTTTTTTTTTTTTTTCCTTTTCTTTTCTTACAGCAAGCAAGGATTTGGCACAGACATCCTATTTCATGGCTACCAACAGGTTGTTATCCTGACCCTCTTTGTTGCACTGTTGTAGCACACTATAGCTTCCTTTAATGCAGGGCCCCCTCAATGTGTCTCTTACCCTTGTTGCAACAGGAGACTGGACCAACTACTGTGGTGGTACCTTCCTGTTTGCTTTGCGGTGTATTGTACAAGGGACTTTGGGCACAGAGGGGTTAAATGCACAATGTGAAGTGTAGTGGTGCTTTCTGATGACATATTCTCGATTTGTGAGTGCATAAGTCTAAAATTGGTAGCCTGAATAGCAGCTAAAGATTACAAAGAGCTAAACTTAACGTAGAAACTCGAGCAACTTGGTAAGTATAAAGCTATTTCTAGTTTACAATTATAGTTAAATGACAGTTTTTTTTTAAATTTCACATTGATCCAATCTAAATAGTCACTGAAGTTTTTTAATAAATAAATTTATATAACTTGGGGGGTTCCAGTTAATACAAACCAACTAGAATTAGTCAAGTCTTTCAGTGCCTGCGTTTGCATAAATACAATTTTTAGTTCTATAAAAAACTTCCTTTTCAGCTTATATAAAGCAAAAAATGATACCTATTTGTGGATGATCAGTAAACATTTATCAATTCTGAAACTAAACTGGGAGGGTGACTTTAAGGAACTTTTAATATCTAATATATAATTCTGTTCTAGGTTGATATGAAAGATTTGAATTTGTTTTTTAAGTGAGCTATTGGGAAAAGGAACCAGACCATCCTTGTGTGGTCCTTAATTTCTTGTGACACTGATAAGTTTTATTTAAAATTTTGGATTGGCAGGTGCCAGTATATTTTTCTGAGATATATGTTGTTGGACTTTAACATCTACCCTAGAAATTCTAAGGGGGGAAGGATTTAAATTTAAAACTTTGGTTAGAAAGGCTAGCCCTTCTCTTATGTTTTAACTGCCCAATATTTAGTATATAGTTGGAGGAGAATGTTAGTATTTTTGTAGTAGTTAGCAATAATGGGCCATGAAATTGTTTTTGAAAAGGTAAGTTCCCTTTGGGGCTTTGTTGAAAAGAACACAGAAATTTACATAGATAAGAAATGTTTTCTTTGATTTACTAAAGAATTATGTCTAAGCCACATCAAATGGTTATAATCCTTGATTATGATGTGACATTGAAATTACTTTGTTAGACAAATAGTCTTTTTTAATTACATTTTTGACAAGACATTACAAAAAAAATAGAAGTACCCAAAAAAGTTTAAAATTCTATTTGTGACTAGTAATTATTGCAAGTATACTATCTTTCCCTCTTTTTATAAAATACTCTAAATTTAGGTATAAAAACAAATTTCTTAAATGCTCTTATATTAGTGATAGTAGGGTATTAATATACCATGAGGGTGAGGGATTGCATTTTATAATCTACATAGGCTTTTTTCATATTAGAATTTTTGTTGCTGTAAGTTTTTAATTTAATAAGATTAAGAAAACCTAAAATTTTATTTTTTTCTTTAAAATTACTGATAAATGTTTTTCTTTGTTTTACATATTTGAATTTCTATGGCCCTCCATTTTCAAACCTGCTCTACAACAGTCTGCATCTTACGACCTTCTGTCTGCAGTACAAACCAACAGTGATAGCTTGTGTGTGCATTCATTTGGCTTGCAAATGGTCCAATTGGGAGATTCCTGTGTCAACTGATGGAAAGCATTGGTGGGAATATGTAGATCCTACAGTTACTCTAGAATTACTAGATGGTAAGTAGAAAAATTGTTTTTTACATTAGAATTTTTTTAACTTTTCATTATGGAAAAATTTCCTTCTGTATGGGCTATTAATAATTGCATTTCAAAAGATAAGGTCTCTCTAAGGTCTCTAAAAAAATGAGTATATTCCATGTCTAGAATTTTTTCTTTATAATTGATTTTTTTTTCTTGATACTCGGGATCAAACTCAGGATCTTGGTGATTGCAAGGCAGGCGCAGCACCTCTGAGCTAAATCCCTGGCCCTGTATAGAATTTAAAGGTGTAATTACATGATCAGGTACATAGAATGAAAATAAGACTCATTACCCTAATGAAAAAACAAACAACTGAATATATTTACTACAAATGTATATACAAGGTCCACCTCCCAAAAAGTGTATATGCTTCAAGCAAAGAAAAACTTGTAACATCATGAGGTTCATATAAGTTACCGTTAGCCTCTCCAGTAACAAGAGGTGCTTCAAGTGGTAGCCATTAGATTCCAGACATTAGTACGGCAAACTGCTGCTTGGGTAACCTTGGTCATTGAAATTGCTACACATGCATTCTCAACTTCTTCTCTAAGGACCAGCGGTATAGTGGGTTTTCTGTTATATATAACGGCCCCTAGGGTCCCCCATATTAAGGTAACACCATCTGTTGAAAAAACATCATACTATTTTTCTTTTTTTTGTTGTTTTTTTTTTGAGACAGGGTCTCACTATTGTAGTTCAGGCTGGCCTTGAACCCATTATGGAGCTGAGACTGGCCTGGAACTCAGTGATTCTCCTGTCTCAGCCTCCCAAGTGCTGAGATAACAGGCATGCACCATCATGCCCAGCCCATACTATTTTTCTTTTCCTGAAGTATATGTGCTTTTTTTTTAAGGGGAAGAGTTTATTTAGTTCACAGTTTGAGAGATTTCAGTCCATAGTCGCCTGGCTCCAAGGCAGTGGCACATGGCAGAGGAGCAACAGTTCATGGTAGCATAAGATGGTAGCAAAGCAACCAGGGCATCTTTTCAAAGAAGAATGATTTTAAATGCTGTAGGTTAGGGCTGGGGATTTAGCTCGGTGGTTTCGCCGCATGCCGTGCAAGCTCAAGGACCCGAGTTCGATCCCCGGTACCAAAAAAATAATAAAATAAATAAATGCTGTGGGTTAATAGGACAAGAATACCTGTTTATAGCATATATAATTTTCAGATGTGTAAATTTAGTCTCAGAGCTCAGTGGTAGAGCACAAGTTTACATATGCAAGGCCCTGGGTTCAATCACCAGCACTGCAAAAAAAAAAGGTTGCTGTAAACTCAGAAATTGAGTGTTAACTGTAGATGATACTAAAGAGTAAGCTAAAGAGATTTTTCTAGGTAACCATTCTTGCTTTTTAGTGCCCTTGTTGGTTTGCATTATTAAACATTAATGGACAAGGGCAAATTGAGATACAAATTCTGTCAATTGTGTGAACCTGAAATTTGCAAAGCTCCCAAATCTGATAAGGAAAGAATTTATCTGATGGAGAAATGAGAAAGTGTTCAGAGATGGGAGATTCTAGGACATTTTAACCAAGTAATAAGATTTCAGAAAGGAAATTAGACTGCTTTTTGTTTGCAGATAATTTTGGTTTGCAGACAGAAGCAGTTGGCAAAATTCTCTTTTTGTTAGCAAACTGCATCAGACACATACATGCCCATAGCCATCTTTCCTACACAAACACAAACATGGCCATCTTTTCCAAAATTGTAGAATAAATTAAGATTTTGAACTGAGGTACCACTGTGTGTATTACTTCTTACCTAATTGATAAGAACTGCACTTAGCAAATTTTCACTTTATTCTTTTTTGTGCTTTTTCCAGTTCTCTTTAGAAATTGAGGCTGATGGGAAAACAGGATTGACATTTGTTACTATTGGAGACAGGTGTTACATAAAGTGGGAAAGATGCTGCTTTAGAGTTGGTAGGCCATAAGATCTCTGTTTCAACTGCATAACTTTACTGTTGTAGCTGGGAAACAACTATAAGTAATAGGTTAATGAATAGATATGGCTGTATTCCAATAAAACTTCATTTACAGAAACAGACAACAGACCATATTTGGCTAACTGGCCATATGTAGTTTGCCTAATCCTGTTATAGAATAGCTTCTTTGTTAGATCCCTTTCATTTTTTTCCTCCTCAATTTCTCCCAAAGTATGTATTTCATATCATAATACTGCCACCCGATTATACTGTTTTCTTAAAATTGTCAGAAGTTTTCTCAGAGTTTATTCAGAGCAAAGAAAATCTTCAGTGAATTGAAATGACATCTCAAACCCACTTGGGCTTTAGTACTCTTTTTATCTGTTCTCTAGCTTGAAAACTAGGTTGTCTATGTACTGTCTTAACTTTAGCAGTCACTGAATTAAGAAGGCATAATTTTTATAAAAATAATTTATGTACATAGTGGGAAATAAGACTCACAAAAAGTAATCTGCTTTTACAAAGTTACTAGGATTTTTTATTTCTATTAGTACTTGTTTGCAGAAAAGTTACTGGAATTTTTGACATAAGAAGAGCATAAATATCTCTCCACTTTGATTCTGAAAAACTGAAGCTCATTGTTGATAGCAGCTTTTGGGGGTTTTGGGGGGGTTTTTTCTTTCTTTTTTTTTTTTTTTTGGTACCAGAGATTGAACTCGCGACCTTGCACTTGTGAAGCAGGCAGGAGAACTACTGAGCTAAATCCCTGGGCCCTAGCTTTTGGTTTTGATCACCAGAAATGTTAAAGTAATTTAAAATTTAAAATATATCTGAAGTTTAGCATGATACATGAAGTGTTCATACTATTGTTATTTATTGAAGTAATTCATTTAATCTCTTCCAGAAACAACATTGGCCTAGATTTATAAGGTTTTTTAGGGAGTGTATGTGTTCTCTTTTTTTTTAATGATTAATAAACCCTTGCATATGTTTGTTTTTTTGTTTTGATACATAATAGAAAAGAGTATATGGTTTGTTTTATGTCTTGGTTTGGCTTGGGGTTTTTTGTTTATTTTGGGGGGGTTGGTTTTTGGGGTTTTTTGGTGGTGGTGTTTGTTTCGCTTTGTTTTTAAGCAGTGCCTGGAGTATCTGTCACATTCTGCGTAAACACTACCACTGAACTACACTCATGCTTTTGTGTTTTGTGTTTAAATTTTTCTATATATTAGCTTTGTAGGGGAAAGGCCTCTATTTTTAAACATCTGTGGTCTTTGTGTATGTTGCTAATTTACAATCACAGATTGTCAAATTATTTATTCCTCTACTACATAAAATGTAATGGAGTAGGAAAAACAAAGCTTGCATTTTGTATCTGCTATGTGCCAGGTTCTGAACTAGAAACTATATGCTTTTAATGTTTGACAACCAAGCTGTTAAGAAATTGAGTCAAAACAATTTCATGTTAATGTTGGACCCCAAGTTCAAGGAGAAAAGTGACCCTTTTTTTCAAATGACAAAGTAGAGGTCCAGGCATTGGATCTTATTTTGTTCAGACTTGATCATGAGACTGTCAGGAAACATTTGTGAAATTGCCAAGTAAGTTGGATCTTGAAAATTAATAGATTTTGGTTCATGGGTCAATTAACATCATACCCTTTCACAAGCTAGTTTTGGATATCACCATCCTTATAAACATAGTGCTATAGGATTTTTGTATGCTGTGTGCTTTTTGGGGAACATTTGTCAGTCTTAGCATTTTCCTAGAATAGTTAGCAGAAAAGGTTAGTGTTTGTATTAAAAATATTAAGTGAATCTGTAGTCTCTATTCAGATAAGTTCACTCTCAGTATTGAGTTGACTTGGCATTATTTATATAATGGGTATTCTGATTCATTTAACTAACATTTGTCTTGAGCATAGCCAGTATTTATTAGTGATGATGGTACATTAGGATATAAAAGAATAATTTATCATTGCTATACCACTTTGGAAAAGTGGGTCATCTTACTGTAATCCTAAACCTAAGAAAACTGATTAAATTATGGCAAGGATAATCTGCTAATAGTGTTGTATTCTAGAAAATATGAGTATAGGTGGAGGAAAGTTTTTTCTTTTTTTTTTAGCATTTAACTTTGAAATAACTTTAAACTTGAAAGAGTTCCTCTGTATCCCTCACTCAGATTTTCCTAGTGTTAACATGTTATATAGCAGTATATGATTATCAAAGCCAGGAAATTAACATTTTATTATAATGAAACTACAGGATCCAGGCATGGTGGTGCATGTCTGTAAGCCCAGCACTTCGGAGGCTAAGGCAGGAGGATTGCCACAATTTCAAACCCAGCCTGAACTACATAGCGAAAGACCCTGTCTCAAAATAACAATAATAATGATTATGATAATGATGAAACCACAGGTTATCTGAATTTCTCCATTTTTCCCTATTCCAGGATCCCATATTCCATTTAGTTGGCACGTCCCTTTTATCTGCAGTCTGTTAAGTTCTTCAGTCTTTCCTTGTGTTTGATGACCTTGACATTTTGAAGAATAATGGTCACTATTACAGAGCATTTCTCATTTGAAGCTTCTCAAATGTTTTCTCATAACTAGATTGAGCTTGGAGTTTTGGGTGATAAGAATACTGCAGAAGTAGGTTATTCCCTGCTTAGTGCATAATAGAAAAGAGTACATTGTGTTGATATATTTTACCGCTAGTGATGATCACTTGATTAAGGTGGTATATTGCTGAGCTTCTCCACTATAGAGTTACATTTTTCTCTTTGTAATTCATAAATATGTTGGGGAAGATAGATTGAGATTATTTTTAAAATCCTTTGTATTCTTTTGCATACCAACTTTTAAAGAATCCATTGGGTGGTTCTTTCCTACAACAAATATTATTATATTTTTTTGCCTAATGGAGATTTTTTTTTTAGTGGAGGAGATGGATATTTTTATAGATGGATTTTTCATAGATTCTAAGTATGCAAGTAAAATCAGAAGGGGAAGTGTTATTTTTTTTGCCTTTAAAATATTTTATTATTGCTCCAAGTATCTCAAGACATTTTAAATGAGGGGGGAAAAAAATCTTTGTTAGAGCAACATTCTCTGCTTATTTAGATCCCATCCCTGTCTGGGGACATAGTGAGGTGAGGTGTGTCAGTGGGTCATATCAGTCTGGAAGGTTCCTGTCATTAATGCAGTTTCGCCATCTCCAAGAAAAAGGCAGCAAATAATTTGGACCCCTTTATGTAGTTCCACCTGTTGATCTTCTCATTCTGAGAGTGCTCTCCATCATCGACAGCCCCCAGTGGAAGCATCGTCACACTCTTGGATAATGTCTTGGAATAGTTTGGCAATAGGAATGCTTGATCCATCTTGGATCATATCAGGTTCTGTTCCAAACACTGTTCTGATGGCTCTTTTTGCTGCAAGGTACTGAGTATCATTAATATTTGCAGTTTGGTTGGAACTATTTCTTTTGGAGAATACATCTTCAAGATGCTGCTTCACCTGTTTTTCCACCATAGACACATTCATGTGAGGGACTAGACGGATTAAAAATTTCCCTGTAACCCAGCCAGGTATGACTGTTTTAGTTCCAGGTTTATCAAATGCACCCTCAATCCCTTGAATAGAAAGAGATGGGTACCTCCATAGTTGCATTAGAATTTCCTCCTTTGTATCAAACAGAAATTTCTCAACTTGACTGCTATTCCAATATTGCTCGAGGTCCAGATCAATGGCTTCATACATTTCTTTTTCCTCCTCTGTGAGAGGAGCCACTTGGTCATAGATTCCAGGTATCAGGATGTGTGACCCAATGAATCCACTAGGCTACCAAGAAGAGCAACCAAGTCAGCCATTGGTTCATTAAGGATACCACCAAAACTTACGGAATGAAAATCTTGATCTCTGCATTTCATCTCCACCAGGAAGTAGCTGTTTCCTCGGGTTCCATAAGTGAGTGCAGGTTTCCTCTTGCTAAGCCATAGATAGATATCTGAGATCACAATGTAGTCCACGCTGGAGAAGAACCGGTCCTTTTCTTTTCTGATAAGTTCCTCCAAAGCAATAGAACCAGCTTCTTCCATCCTTTCCAGAATGAACTTGATATTCACTGGGAGATCCAGAACCTCTGCAGTAAGTCCTAGTTCACTGTGAGCCACGGCAGTACACAGCAAATTACAGGAAAGGTAGAAAAATGAGACTGAGAAGAAGCTGAGCTTTGGGTCTGATCAGTACTGCTCAAAGGGAAGTGTTCTTTAAATAAAGGACCCAGCAGGCTGGGGATTTAGCTCAGTGGTGCCGCAAGTGCAAGGTCCTGAGTTTAATGCCTGGTACCAAAAAAAATAAATAAGTAAATAATTTTTAAAAAGACCCAGCTTTGGGCCGGAGATTTAGGCTCAGTGGTTTCGCCTCCTGCTGCGCAAGCGCAAGGACCCGAGTTCAATCCCTGGTACCAAAAATAAAAAATAAAGACCCAGCTTTGGGCTAGTGTTGCTCATTGGCACAGTGCATGCTTAGCACACACAAGACCCTGGATTACACAAATAGTCTGCTTCTGCATATGCTAAAGATTGAACAAAGGTTAATAATATAGTAGCACTTCAATACACAAACTTAATTCTTTCCATGATTATGGTTGCAGAATTCATTCCATGATTCCAGTTGCAACCGAATTTATAGAATAAATTTTGCGACCAGAATGTGGAAAAGAATTAAGTTCGTGAACGAAGGTACCACTATAATAGAGATGAGCTCATAGGGTTCCTTTCTAATATTGCCCACTTGCGAGAAATTTAAATCCTAAAGATACCTTCTAAGTTTTAAATTTAAATTTTATTTTTAGAGCTAACACATGAGTTTCTACAAATATTGGAGAAAACGCCTAGTAGGTTGAAGAGGATTCGAAACTGGAGGGTAAGAGTATTGGCAGGATTTAATAGAATCAGTTTGTCACTTACCTAACAGTTATATAGCTCATTTGAAATTGTGTGGTTAATAATTTTCACTATTCCTAAAAGCAGTATTCTATAAGCTCCATGTGTTCACAGTTTATTTAACTACTGTGTCCAGTAGAATTTCTAAGTGTATTATCCATTTTATTTTTAAATCTCACAGTTATTGTGGTGGAAATAATTATCTTTGTTTTACAAATGGGGAAGTTGTATCCTAGACAAATTAAATTACTATCTCAAATGCTGGGCTAGGATCTAATTTGTATCTGATTCTAAAACCAGTGCTTTCAAAGCCTTCTGTTACACCTCAAAATTAAGACATTTATTTGCTGGCAGCATAAAACCTTGAGCCCTGGGTGATTTTATTTCCATATATTTAAAATAGACTATTTACAAGCAAAAATCTCACATTAAATCCCTGTGCTTTCACTGCTTCTTTTGTGTGTTTTATTTACATAGGCTGATCAGCCGGTTAAGAAACCAAAAGTAGACGGACAAGTAACAAAGGCACCACTTCTTGGTTCATCTTTGGTTCAGAATTCCATTTTAGTAGATAGTGTCACTGGTGTACCAACAAACCCAAGTTTTCAGAAACCATCTACTTCTGCATTCCCTGCACCAGTACCTCTAAATTCAGGAAATATTTCTGTTCAGGACAGCCATACAACTGACAATTTGTCAATGCTAGCCACAGGAATGCCAGGTACCTCATATGGTTTGTCATCACACCAAGAATGGCCTCAGCATCAAGAATCAGCAAGGACAGAACCAATATATTCACAGAAACAGGAGACGTCTTTGTCTGGCACCCAGTACAACATCAACTTCCAACAGGGACCTTCTATATCACTCCATTCAGGATTACATCACAGACCTGACAAAATTTCTGATCATTCTTCTGTTAAGCAAGAATATACTCATAAAGCAGGGAGCAGTAAACACCATGGGCCAATTTCTGCTACTCCTGGAGTTATTCCTCAGAAAATGTCTTTAGATAAATACAGAGAAAAACGTAAGCTAGAAACTCTGGATGTCGATGTAAGGGATCATTATATAGCTGCCCAGGTAGAACAGCAACACAAACACACGCAGTCACAGGCAACAAGCAGCAGTTCTGTAACTTCTCCCATTAAAATGAAAATTCCCATCACAAATACTGAAAAACCTGAAAAGTACATGGCAGAAAAAAAGGAAAAGAGTGGATCACTGAAATTACGAATTCCATTACCACCCACTGATAAAGGCACCAGTAAAGAAGAGCTGAAGATGAAGATAAAAGTTTCATCCTCAGAAAGACACAGCTCTTCTGACAAAGGCAGTGGGAAGAGCAAGCATTCGAGCCCACATATTAGCAGAGACCATAAGGAAAAGCACAAGGAGCACCCTGCAAACCGCCACCACACCAGCAGTCACAAGCATCCCCATTTGCACAGTGGTGGCAGCAGCAGTGGCAGTAAACACAATGCTGATGGAATACCACCCACTGTTTTGAGGAGTCCAGTTGGCCTGAGCAGTGATGGCATTTCCTCTAGTTCCAGTTCTTCAAGGAAGAAGCTGCATATCAATGATGCTTCTCACAACCATCACTCCAAAATGAGCAAAAGTTCCAAAAGTTCAGGTAGTTCATCTAGTTCTTCCTCCTCTGTTAAGCAGTATATATCCTCTCACAACTCTGTTTTTAACCATCCCTTACCCCCTCCTCCCCCTATCACATACCAGGTGGGCTACGGACATCTCAGCACCCTCGTGAAACTGGACAAGAAGCCAGTGGAGACCAACGGACCTGATGCCAATCACGAGTACAGTACAAACAGCCAGCATATGGACTACAAAGACACATTCGACATGCTGGACTCGCTGTTAAGTGCCCAAGGAATGAATATGTAATCATTTGTTTAGGTCAATTTTTCCTTTACTTTTTTAATTTAAAAATTGTTAGAATGGAAAACTTCCTCCTGATCTAGCAGTGGTAACACTTGCTGTTTCTGCCACTGCTTCAATATTTGTAAGTGCTGCTTTATTCTTCATTCTGAAAAGAAGAGATTATAGTAAACAAGTCTTTATCTCCACATATGATAGTGTTATAAATACTGTAAAAGCATGGAAGGTGCAAAACTCATTATTTCTACAATTGCAGCTAAGAACATTAGGATGAATGCCTGGCTGCTTCTAGGAATATAAGATGCCTCAAGCATTATTTATAATTTGAATACTGTAGTTATTTTTTGTTGTTGCTTGGCTTTTGAATGAGTGAAAATTGTTTTCTTTTGTGTATTTATACTTGTATGTATGATTTGCATGTTTCAATGATAAAGGGATAAAACAGTATACTGACAACTGTTTACAAGAAAGTGGAGGAAAATGTACATACATTTTTGTATGTTTAGATATTACCATAAATACTCAGGATTGGAGCTGCTTGTAAGTATAACAATGTACAGAATAACTTTATTTTCTCTTGTCAGAGTCCAACACTAATCTGAAACAAAGGTGGCACTTTTTCATGTTAACCTTAAACTCTAGCCCTTACTGGAAGCCGCTGAAGAGAGGGACACTTCACTACCAGATGGGTATGCAGTGCCACAAGTGGGCCTTTACACTGTGAGGCACTCAGTTTTTGCCTTCAGAGGTCCTGACCAGATTGGCCGCTGAAATGGCCCCTAATTCTCTGAAGGCTTGAAGAAGAAAAAAATAAAGTTTACATACTCTTGATGTGAAGTGCATTTAAATGTCTGTTGGCTTATTACAGTATAAAACAGCTGTTAATAATTATATAGATTACTGTGATTTGAAAACTAAATTCACAAAAACTTACATAGTGAAGAATTAGTAAGTTTTTCCTTGAACTTTAACACTACGTATTTTAACAATAAACAGGGATCACTTTTCCTTTAGCATTCAGAACGACACCATATTCTTAAATACTCTCCTCCCCTGAAGCGTGTTTGTGTGTGATGTCATATTTCTTTTTCAGGTAAATGCAGTCTTCCTTATAAAAATGAAATTAAACCTATGCTCTCTTAATTCTTTTATATTCTAACAATAAATAAAAAGAAAAGATTACTGACTGTGCACTGTACCTGTATTTATAGCTTATGGTTGCTATCAGAAAGCTCTGTAGAAAAACAAAGATCAGCCTCCAGGCAAACCACTAGCGGAGGTTTTACATTTGTTTGCACATCTCAGTATACTCCTGTTAAGGTAAAGTTTGCACAGTCATCTGACTCCTGATTGAATGATAGACTTCAACTTGTATAAGTTTTGTTTTAAATACCAGTAGTATGGCTCTTGTCTATTGCTAATCTTGACTTTATTCTGTGGTAAATCTTGGAGCTTTTGAGTATCTTTGAGATTGATTGAATTCAACTTACATTGAACTGAAAACTGTCTTAATTTTTCCGCTGTAAATGAACTATTTTTGTTACAAAGCCACTGATATGTGCACAATTGTAACTTTACTCAAATACTTTGTGGTTGTAAATAATAGAGTTTAATCTGTGCTCTACTTTTATTTAGCAGTTATCTAAGATAACTTTATTATTTCATCAATGTTATTTGAATTTGGGATACTAGGAGCCTCCTTCTAGGGACTTTGCCTAGGTAGCATGTCCTGACATTTGTTCTTGTCTTGCATAACATTAGTAATTTTGTCATTATATGTAACTTTGTTGTTCTGTATGGCATAATATTGTATCCATAAACATGGTAATTTTGATACAGTTATACTTTTACAGTGGTACATGATCCAAGGACTAGTATAGAATTAAGCTGAGGGCAAGATGAGGGAGGGAATGGTTCTGTTCTTGGTGATTTAGATGTGAAACCTCTACAGATCTATCATGTGAAACGACATAGGGTGGTTGTGCTACTGTATAATTGGGGATAATTCCAGGAATTTTAATAAGATTTTGTAAAGAATATCCAGAAAAGTAGTGAACTTATTTTCAGTATGACATAGAAGACAATGTGAATATTTAAGGTCTGTGACTATAGTTAAACTTCACTAAGAATTTGAAGAATTGTTTTGAAATGTGGGAATAAAGGTAATTTTGTTGAATCTTTATTGGTGCTAATGATGGACAGTTAAAAAGATAGCTAGTATATATTGTTATGGTCAGTACTTACTAGTACTTCCAAAATTGAATTTGAAATGCTATGTATTAACTTTTCACTCTGTAAATGTAATTCTTTACAATGACTTTATTTATTAAAGGGCAGTCAGTTGTGATTTTTACAGGATTGTGTGAGCTATTCAAACTCTTTAACCTCTGAACAGGATATTAAGCTTCCAAAACCACAAAGGTGATTAATGCAGAAATCCTTTTAAGTTTCATTGCCATTAAACAAAAACTCTTATAATTCATATTACCATGAGTTTGCTTCAACCATCTTATTTGCATAAAATAATTCATCGGCCTGGTCCCATTAGGCTTTACCAAAGAAAAAGACTCAGATGAATGGACATTACTGTGAGTCTTGTAAGTAGCCATAAATAAACCAAAATAATATCAAATTTAGATATGAAATTCCACATGTGCAAAGTACTGTTAAGGTGATACATTTTTTATGAGATTTTTTTTAAATATTTGAAATATTAAAAAGCATTATCTTTAAACATCTTATAAAAGAGTGATTCATTTTTAAGTTGTCTTTTCCCTAGATTGCAGATTTGTTACCTTTATGCAGAAGCACATTGCAAACAAAGGCTTTACGTCTACCTCTTTCGACTAGTTCTCCAATATTGAGCTGTGCCCCCTAAATATTTGCCTTAGCCACTTGAAAATGTAATTTCAGAACCAAAGCAAAGCAGTTTTCAGCGAAACATTCTCAGAAAGCTACTTCACAAAACAGGTATAATATGTTAGTGGTTAAGTACCTATTAGTGGTTAAGACCTTGCAAAAAGTCATAGCATCCATCCCATGTTTCTCTTTAAAAGCAGCTGAGTTTGTACCTTCATCTTCCCCCTGTGTGTGCAGATTCATTCAGGTTATTCAGTCATTTAAAGAAAACTTCTACCAAGATACATGGTAAGGAATGTCATGGGGTGATGCTTCTGTTGCTGTGTACCGACAGCTCATAATTAGTAGGTTAACTGACCTTGTTGGCCTGTCTATCCTCTGACCTAAAGAAAACAACTACTGTAGTTGGTGTGCTTCAGAGAACCAGTGTTAAGGATTTCTATTACCAATACCTTGCCTTAAAAGGTTTTAAGCACATACTCTTTTTATATTTGAAATTTTAAATTTTTATTCCTTAACCAACCTTAGAAATAAACCACTGCTTATATATGCATGAATATTAAACAATATGCCCACTTGATTGATTAGACATGTTAGGGTTTTTCATATATGAAACAGGATTTATTTTTTAGCATGGTACCACCTGTAAAAGAATACAGTTCTGTTAACTCACCATCCTGTTTTTATTTTTGTTTTTACCATCCCCAGTTTTATCTGAACAAACAGCAGTTTCTCACCTGCCATTGTCCTTACCTTGCTAGGTGATTGTTTAGGATTTTTTGCTGGGAAAAATTGCAAGTTATTGTTATGAAGGACCCTTGCTTTGTTATTTCTCTTGATTGAGCAGTCTTTCTCATGGGAAGCAGTAGATTCACTGACCACAGTTATGCAGATAAAAGGTCAACAAATCCCAGCCTCTGGAGAAACTTGAATTAACCAAATTCAAGCCCATTTATTAGGCAGACTAATTCAAACATTTTTATACTGGAAAAGCAGTATATTTTGTCCCTGTCCAGTTAGAGTAACAAGTTACAATATCAATGTTAATCTGAGAATTCACACCTAAGTTTACATCAGAAATCATTGGGCAATTTGATCAGCTGATAGAGATATAAACTAAGAAGTTTGCTTTTTTTTTTTCAATATGCTGAGGATTGAACACAGCTACTTCCCCAGACCTTTTTTTTAAAGACTGGGATCTTGCCAAGGATCATTGCCCGGGATGGGCACAAACACTTGATCTTCCTGCTTCAGCCTCCCACAGTGCTGGGATAACAGGTGTGTGCCACCATACCTAGCAAAAATTTGCTTATTTTATTAAAAATTTGTCTGAAACATCTGTCTTTACAACCAAGATGATCTTGCCAGTGGAACTGAAATGCTCTTAAGTATTTTAACATGCTTTCATTTATTTCAGTGTCAATTTGGGACCAGCTTGCTTTTTCTTCTGTGACTCCTTTTTCTGTTGCATAACTTGCCATCATCTGTTCTGCCTGCCATATTCTTTCAATGGGTTGGTAACCAAGATATTAAAGGTTGCATGGCTAGGAGCAGTTCTTGTCTTATAAAGGTAACTTAACCTATTTGCTTTGATCCATTAATCTCAAAAGTAAATTCCTGAGGCTAATTTTTATTTCCAAGTATTGAGCAGAAACCTTGTTTAAAAGCCTATGTGTTGCCATTTCTATTTAGTAGTTTAATTTGACTTGCCTATTAAGTACTGAGACCATTCTTAGTGATGAGTACAATTCTATTTTTTAGGATGTGTGTTTTCAAGCAGCTTCATTTGGTTAGAATACCTCACAAATACTGTGTTGTGAACAGTGATTGGAATTCTGTTTTCTAAATGTACTCAGAACCCCCAAGGACAACTGAATGGGATGTTTGCTAATAGAAAATCCAGAACAGGCATATGTGTGTACTACCATGAATTAGTCTGAATTTGAGCTTCTCCTATATAAGAAATTATTAATAAAATTTGTTTATTAACAACATAAATTCAAGCCTCTAACATATCTTGTTAACATGAGTTAGGTGTAACTTATAGTCCCTAGAAAAATGTGGGAAACCTGGTTTCTAATATAATTGACTCTTTATCCTAGTAACACATATCATCAGGGTACAGCTTCTCGGATTAATTGATTCACAAAATTTTTTCCACAATTCTGGTTGAAAAACAAATTGAACGAGAACAAAATCAAATTTCAGTGTCAGCATTGAACCCAACCATTGAATTTGATTCAGTTCTCATGCAGTTTGGCGTGTAACCAGAATCATGGGAAGAATTAAGTTCGTGAACCAAGGCACCACTGTGTATGGTCAAATTCCAATCTTAGCCCTAGTGCTTAATAGAAGATTGACCTTGGATGAATTATTTGATTTTTGTACCTTCATTTCCTTCCCTATAAACTTGCATTACTAGTACATTCCCTTTTAATATCCTTCCTGTCTCCAACCTCCCTCCCCTCCGCACACATTTTCCTGTATCTTCCACTTGAAAGAAAATGAAAGCTAATTGCAATAACTTTAGTAAAAGATGCAAAAGTTATCTCAAAAATGTATTCATTTAAGCCTAGATGTAAATAAATTCTTTAAATCACATTAAGAGATTATGTTGGTAACAACAGTAAGGGCTTTTTCTATAGTACAGTACTGTAGTTTTTGCTGACTGTACTGTACAGTACAGTACTATAATTTTATGTTCTGTTATACATTATAGTACTCCATGTAAGAATTGTGCAAATAAAAGTGAAGTCATCAAGTTGTAGTTTCCTTTGACTATTTCTTTGTTCTGAATATTGTAATGTACATACTATATACAGTTCCTCATTTAGTGACCTAATAATAATCATAGGCCCATAATTCGGTTGTTAAATGGGGGATGTCTAATTCCATTTAATCAAATTTGTCCAAATCCATGTTCCCCTTTTCTCCTGCTGTTTTCAGTATTTTAAAATTTTGTTTTAGCCCTAGTATAAAATCTGCCTGTTCTCTCCCTTAATACCACCTCCCAAAATAGCCTCACTAATGCAGCCTTTTAACATATTGCCATGAAATGAAGACAAGCAGTTTATTTAGGCCTTTCAAACTAACCCCCAAGGTCAGTTTTCTCTAGCCTTTGAAGTTAGTATGAGCTTGTTTTACAGATGAATTCACCCATGGTTTTTCACGGTTTTACAATATTTTTTAAGAGAGCAAGTGGTCCCTGGGCCATGGGTTGGACACACCAATGTTGGTTATCAATAGATAGAAGTGCCCACCTCAGAACTAACTGGCAGAATTATCAGGAAAGCCTTTTAAATCCAAGTTTCTACATTTAAGTAGTTGCTTTAAGCTGAATTAATACTTGTAAATGAAAAGTAACAACTGGGCCGCCTAGCAAATAATAGAGGTTTTGGCTTCTCCTTGAGCAGGTTGATTGCATTACTATCTTCCAGCTGTTCATTATACTACAGAAAGAGGGACTGCTTGCTGCATTGATCTTGTAGGAGGGAATGGATGCAGTCCAAATGTAGAATACTGCACAACTTCCAGTACTCCAGAGTTCACTTTTGTCTCTTGTGCCTCCTAACTCTACCACTGAGAAATGTCCACAGTGTAAGGGCTAAAGGAAGTTAAATTTGAGATACTGCAGACCTACTTTTTAGAACTTTGCTTGAGAGTTAAATTTTCTTTGGTTGAGTTTGGGCCCAAAAGAAAAGGAGTATTTAATGAAGTGAGCTCTTTAGTGTGATGGAAAATGAGGACAGTTGTGTTGGCTATATTCATGGAGGGGAAAGCAATATAACTGATAAAAGAACAGTAGTTCATCACACCGTTAAAGTACTTAGAATCAAAGTGGACTTCTGCCTTTGTGTATCTGTGTGTCTGGTATTTTGCTTTGAGTAAAGCAGTGAGAGAGTACCTGGTTTCCTTAATAGATTGAATCTGAAAAAGCTTTAAAAGTTGTAGAAATGGGGTGGCAATCCCAATTCTGCCTACCATTTAGATGGCTGTCAGAAAATTATCTCTGAACCCTATTTTGAAGATTCTTTTTTTTTTTTTTTTTGGTACCGGATTTTTTTTTTTTGGTTGTTTGAGGCAGGGTCTCCCTTTGTAGTTCAGGCTGGCACTGAATCCTTTCAGTGGCGGTACTGTATTTTGTTCTTCCAAATAAATTAATTGAAGAATGCCCTGTATTTTGAGATTCTTTTTTTTTTTTTGGT